CCGTCCGCACGGAAATTACGTCGTTCTAACTGCAGTTATGTAATTAATGTCATCCAGTTATGGAGAATAAATAATCCTGTTCGTAGCGCATCGACTTGTCACCACCGGAACGTGTCGGTGTAAAGTTAAATTGTACGCGGCACATTACTATGTATATTCAACGTGTCGATTACCAGATCGATATCTATGCAAACATCCATGGTAAAACGGATCATTATTAAGTCCATGTTTTCACTTTTTCCCATTAATGCAACATCTACGCGATTTCCACAGTTTTAAAAACCCTTGATAAAATCCCCCCCTGCCGCCATCATGCCTTAGAATCAACCAAAAACGACCACGGAAATATTAGAACAACACGGACGAATCGAGCCAACGAAAAAACGTAAGATCACAAAACGAAGATGGAAAGGAAGACAGCCAGGGGGGGAGGGATTAGCGCTTGATACCCAAAGATCCTTTAATCCGCGGGGAATATTAGCTGGGACTATGCGTCCTTCCAATATTTCGTCGGTGACTTCATCTTTCGAACTCCATGTTCGGAGGACAGTCATCGTGACGATCGAGAATAAAAACGAATCAGACGAGGAACGAAAAAGAAAAAAGAAGAAATAAGAAACGAAAATAAAAGAGAAGAGGCGACGTAGGTTACCCGATTCGCGACATCACGCGGAATCGGAAAGGGGGACCGAGGGACGCGTGTGCGGGCCGGTGTCGCAACGATCATCGGGGGCGGTCGCAGGGTGGAGGAGGGGTTGGGCGAAAGCGCGGGGCACGGGATGAGAGAGAGTCATAAAATCGGGCGAAGTGAACGCCAGGAGGGAGACACTGAGTGATGTCGGTGACAGGCCGCCTCTCTGCCCACCTCCGCCTCCGCAGCCTCCTGTCGCTATTACTCACCGAACGCCGAATATGTACCATTCAAAGTTCGAAACCGCACGTTCGCGACCCAATTCCTGCGTGGAGTCAGCTGTTCGTTCGGTTCATTCAAAGTTCGATCGACCACCGCCGCCGCCGGCTGGCCGTTCCGCGACCAGACGCGTTGAATTAATAACGACGAAAGAGGGTGAGATACAAAAAAAAAAAGAATGTGTAAAATGAAAGAAAGAGGGAAAAAGAAACGAGTCGAAACAACGATCGAGCTTTTCTCGATCGTTGCGTCCTTATGGTAACGGAAGTCGATCGGAAACAGATCGTTCCACGGGTGCACCGACTCTGGTGGTGATCCACGTGTCTTTTTTTCTTGAGATTTTTTCGCCACCCAGGATGACGTACGGACGATAGAAGACGGCCAACGAGCCGTCCGACGGCCAGCATTTAGCGGAACGCCGTGATTTGTCAGGATCATCGGGGCTGCGTTATTTAAGACGGGCTTGGCGAGCAACGAATTCCTTGCCAAGACGTGTGTGTCCCTACCTATTCTACTATTTCTGGGCTTTCTGGCTTGGCAGCGGAGCGCGGAAAATTTTGGGAAGCCGCCGCCGCCAGCGTCAGACATCGCGGCGGAACGCACGCGGAAGTTGTCGTGGCGTGTGAATGTGACGAGCGGCGGAGAGTCGAACGTACAGACACCTATCGATTATCGTCTCGAACTGGGGTCCGCGCCGGGACAATAATCTCAAAGGGAGAAATGCTTCAGACCTTCGTAAATTCGTTTTTCGCCCGAAGCCTGAGCCTCGGCAACAAAAGCGAAGGGACTACAAAGTATGCGCTTGACAGGTTCCACGGTCTTCCCCCTAATGGTAGGGATGACGCCTGGACAATAATCGCGTAGAACAAGCCTAGACAATAATCGAGACGAATCTATATATGGTATAACGTGATGTAAAGTTATACTTGATTTAATTATGATTGATAAAAGCTTGTTTTCGAAAGCTTATTATACACGCTATCGTTATTCGAGAGTCCATAAGTGTATATTGCCTCGGTTGGTCGTCTCTTTGGGAGCTTGAGTAGAGGACATGTGTTTCATTCAGCTGTGTGCAACAGGAGTTTCGAAGTTGCTCCAGAACTACAATGGGGGTAAACAAAGCGGACAAAATTGTGGTACGTGTAATTTTTTTCTTCTGTAAAATACGCTGAAAATTAAGGAAGATTTTTAAGGCGAGTATGCAAAAACAAAATGATCTCATTTTGCGGTGGTGTAATATCTCAAGGATGACATTAAAGATTTATTGGAGGGTAAATATTTATGAACATTATTCTATAATATTGCAACCATACTCATATACCCTTTTCACAATTACCACAGCGTTACAAAAAGCAACAATAACTCTCGACATAAGACCGATACTGGTTACGTCGATATAAGTCCCAGCCCCCAACGAGGATCGTCTATATCAGTCCCTATACACGTATATAACATAGGAACTCCGGTGGCACCGTTTCCGTTTTCCTCTCCCGTCGAAAACGGAAGACGGTATTCTCTGTGTCGCTATCGTCCAAGGGTTCGTCGGTTTCTCGTCGTCCTCGTCGTCGTCGTAGTCCGTCGACGGTCTCGTTGGTAGTGGTGTAGCGATGGCGGAGAATCCCGTGGTTCGCGGTCTCGCCGTTGGAGCGCTGCGTACGCGACGTCGTGGTGGGGAGATGGGCGGTGCCAGGGGGCGCATTGGCCGTGCTCGGTGGGCGTGACTGCGCGCCTCCCACTCCTTGGCGTAGCGCGGCGCTGATTGACAGTTGGCGAACGACTGCGGACGGCGCAGGATCTAAAACCGCGCTAGGCGCTGCTCTCCACGCTCGCTCGGTCCGTTCTTCTCTTACCCGTGGAGAATATCTACTACTACCCGGTGCTTTTTCGTGGGGGAAAGCAGCAACTCGAAAACACGCATATTCCCGTGGCTGCCTTTGCCCGCCGCCGCCGGCCCGCGCGAACTACCACCACCGCCACCGCCGCCGACATAGCACCAACACACAACCAAAACCGACCAACCTTCCACCTTCTGTCCGCCGGAGTTACGAGTGGCACACGCAGTAGTAGTTACGGTTAGGGAGGAGGGTCGCCCGCCGTCTCTCGCGGACAGCTCTCTCTGGCGCGTCACCTCTTCTCTCTCCTCTGGCCGTGCGTGACCGGGGGTTTCGCCTCTCGCGTACGTTCAGTAATCGCCGCGAGGAGGAACGCGCTTCTTCTTACCACGCCGCCGTGACGCCGCGAACTTGGTTTCTCCCATCCGTGTACGGAACGCGCGCGTCGGTCGTCCCGCCGTTTTTGCTGATCGTGACCGGCGGCCCGGGATTATATCGGTTGTTTTTTGTTTTGTTTTTCTTTTCGTTTATTAACGAGACGGTGCCTGAAACAACACGAACCCTTTTGTGTGATCGATCGGTGTGCCTGCCGCCCAGCTAGAAAACTGCGACGTTCGGGGATCTACTACTATCTGGAGAGACCGTGAGCCAACTAAGTGAAGGCTCGGTCGTGGCAAGCAACGCTTGGGCTCCACCGTCGCTTGACATCCACGCCTTGTGACCGCATCTTGTCGCGAATCCACATCGACGAAACGGATTTAAAGAGATCACAGTGTGGACAGTTTGTTGTGTCGACCCGTGGCCAGTAGTGAGGTACGAAACGCACACCCGTCATCTGTGCAGCTAAACCACGCGCAGACCATCAATCCGTCGTCGGTTCTACTCCAGTGTGTTGTTTACACGGCACCATTGTATTCCGGCGCATCAGCCGATTCACGCGTGTACAGACGGACGGACCACGCGAAACGTACCACCCGTGGTCCCTCCGCGAGTGGAACGAAACTACACGCACCGGGTGATCTTTTCGCGCCAATCGCGAAGGATGTAAAACCGTGCTCCGTCAGTGACCATTACACAGAGGGCCCCTCCATTGGTGATTATTTGTTATACGGGTGTATATTTTCGTTTTCTTCCGAATTCGTCGTTACTCTGTGTGAAACAGTGTGCCGCAACCGATGCCTGAGATCGGCTCCGATCCTCCGTACAGAACGGGTTCAGTGGACATACAAAAAGAGAGAAAGAGAGCAGCCTAGATTCGTGATTTCGTAGTGATATATCGTTCGAGTAAACGTGAAAACCCGCGAGTTTCTATCCGTCGGTAAACGAGTAGTCTTACTTTCCGGTTCGGTATTCCGCGAGCATCGATCATTCGTGTGGACATATTATCGCACGTGTATACACCTCGACCGAGAGAAAGAGAGAGTGAGATAAAGTGAATACAATTATCATCCTGGGAACCACTTTAAAAGGATTCATCGTCAGAGGTGTAACCAGCTCAAGTCCACGTATGAAGGGCCACGTGCTTCAGTGAACGATAATAACCAGACGCGTATAATGTCGCCGTACTGACATATCATCGTGAGGCGAAGCTCCTCCAAATCTGGTCAGACGGTACTTCCGGGGTTGTGACCGGGACGATGAGGAAGCACGTGTGTCCGGCCGTAGCCGTGGTCCTCCTGCAGCGTTCAAGCACCCGTCTCGAGCTCTTCTGCTGACGCTCGCTTCGTTTCCTCGCCGTGACACCGTCTCGTCGCCGCTCGACTTGGATCCCGGGGATCGTCGAGGGCCGACGGAACAACAACAACAACAATTATTGTACAACGAAGTTATCTCGTTGAACAATCACATCCAGTATCCAGTACCAAGCCATCGTCGTTTTACACACGCCCGTCGGTCGGTGCGTGGTGTGCCCGCCACATCCGACGACCCACAACCTATCATCATAGCGCGCGCGCGCGCGCGCTCTTTTCGTCTTCTGTTCCAGCGAAGAACAGTCTGCCGACGGCCGGTGTGGTTGTTTGTCTTCGTTCCACGTCTCTCCGTCTGTATACACACGTGTATATCTCTCTCGGTCGGCCCCCCGCCTCGGTAGTGTGTGACACACAAGGGTGAAGAAACCCCGACCGATCATCGCCGTCGCGCGATCGGCCGAAACAGTGAACGGAAACGGTGTGTGAGTGAAGTGTTACTTGCTTTATACTGTGGGAAAATACAGCCGCTACGGTGGCTCAGCACGCAGAGTTCCCCGGCGCGGCCAGGGCGTTCATGGCGCAGCCAAGGGTACGTTCTATCCTTGTTTTTCTTTTTTTTCATCATCATCATTGTCGTCGTTGTCGTCATTCACGGCGGATGATTGACGGAAGAGGCCACACGGGGATAGGTGGACGAATTGCTGGCGTTTCGTAGCGTGTTCGGCTTGTTCTTCGCGATTCTTGGGGATATATCGGTGTCTCGTGATTTTGGACATATGGTGTACCGAGATATGAGTGTGTTGAAGGGGTTGGAGGGTATGATACCGACGGATCGTTAGGGTGTAGTGCGTGCAAAATGATTCAAGTTGCGTCTGTACGTTCGTTCGAGTGTCTTGTAATAGGCGCTAATCGTGTTCAGGGAAGACTGGGATGATGGAAAATTAGATGATGGTATCTTCGGATGTGTGTAAATTGGTGCACGGTGGTTCAGCCTGTCTTCTTGTTTGTTCTCATAATCCCTGATTACCCCCATAACAATTTCCTGAGGGAAAAATAACAATTACACATAATTACGGATTATCAGAATTTCTAATTTTTATAAAGACCCTGTAGAACCTTGTCTTCTCGTTAGGAAACGAGTATAGAATCAATTTATTTCAAAGTTGAGGATTCTATGTGGTAATGATTTTACAAGTTAGAATGTCTGTTTCATCGTATCGACTCCAAAATTCGTATCCGTCGGTGGGGACGATTCGGAGCTCCAATTCTCCTGACTTAAATAAACTGTAAATCTAAGAATGTAGATCATGTTGTGTAGGATTTTAATGGATATTCGACTATTTTTCCTCGAAGACACGCTCGAACGGAACAGTTCGACGGAGTTTGAATCCCCGTTTCCACGTGTCGCAGGGCGAGGTAATCGGTCCACTGGTGAAAGGTTTGTACACAGTGTTGTGCACGATTCATATACAAACCCGAAAGGACTTTGTTGTTTACGTGGAATATCACCGTAATTGACGACCCTGGTAGTAAGCATTCCAGCCGAGGCCATAGAAACCGACGTTTGATCGTTGTCTTTTCAAGCTCGATTCATAAACACGGCTACCCCATTCTGAATAACAATTGTATCAATTTTGTATCGAAATCCTCGTATCCAATAAGAAAAACCGTCACGATATTTCGTATACAGTTTCGAACATCGAAGAAATCTCGAAATCTTTTAATGAGCCCACCAGGTAGATAACTCCAAAATTATACTTTTTACTAGAATTTTCTGCTCGATTGTCTCATTGGGATTCTCGAGTTAATCGGTACCTACGGGATCACCCAGAATGTGCCCGTGGGATATTCGAGGAATCGATCGAGGACTTTGCTCGTCGAGAATTTTCGTTCACGCGATCCCTTCGATTCCAGGACACCGGTCGAGAGGAACGCGTTCCTCGCTGGTTTCTGTTTCCGATTTCTTTGTGGAAAAAGCTCTCAGGAGACCTGGAACGAGTTCGACGCCAGGCTCTTGGGCTGTCCCGTCGGACGCACCATCGTCGAGAGGGTCTTCTTGATTCTTATCTCTATCTCGAGGTTTATCTAATATTTCTATTTAACGTCGCCTGTTTAAGAACGCCGGGCGTCTAGGCTCGTTCGTCAGCCCGTCTGTGTCTTTTTAAACAAATTCAAGTGAATGTGTCGGAGTAGTTTCGAGCATTAAGGTTTTATATACAATTAAAACGTTCAACAACTTAAATTAAATCGATGGTGTGCTTCGTACAGTACGGGTCAGGAATTATTTAGAGTCTTACATACACGGTGAATTTTGTCCTCGATTTTTCGGTCGCAATTTTCTTGTCCAAGTTGTAGGAGGTCGGCGGTGTTGCGAGTGTTCTTGTGCAATTTTCCTTATTACCGGTTTCGCGGAAGCTCGCGATAAAAGAACTAGTTCACTAATCAAATGAATATTCCAACGACCAGATACATATTTCCCAGCACGGCCGGCTCGGTAAACAGTGGAAAAGTCATTGTCTCCTTCCCCCCCCCCCCACCGGTGAAAAAGCAGCGATAGCTTATCAAAGTGAAATTCCGCGCTTCTCTCCCTATCCTCCCCTTTCTCTGCTAGTGAATATTCTGTTGATGATCGCGTTACAATTTTCGTCTCGGGACACACAATATTATCGGAGTTAATGTTCAACCGGGTTTTCCGCTCCGTTTTTTTTTTTTCGAATTCGAAACGTTTCACGGTTTTATCGAGTGCACACCCGGCCAAGTGAAAACGGTATCAGCGCCGATAAAGTGCTTTACGAGATCACCGATAACCACTGGCGATCGCTGCACGCGTGCCCGCCGATTTTTCGAACCGACACGGACCGTCGTCTCGGACGTGTACCGTCGGCCTTCTGTCCCACGACCATGGAACATCTCGACGGAAATGTTTTCGTTGTCTCAATGGGCCTCAGTCGACCCTTAAAGTTGCATTTGTGTACCTCGAGTGCATTCTAGGAATGACCTTCTTCGTGGGTGTTTTTTCGGATAAACCTCAGTGTAATACAATTATAGACAGATCGAATATTGTTCCTTAATCTTCTTTTACAAAGTCTACTAACGTCATATAAACGTGGGACACAAATGCTTTTCCTGAGAGTGACAGATACTACGCTACCCTAACGATCGTTCCGATCATTTTTGTGACCCTCGATGGACTCCACGATTAGAATAAAGAATAAAACTTCTCATAAATGACGTGTGAAGTAGTCGAGTATCCCCGTAAGGAAGCAAGGACTTCAACCCATGTAAAAGACGATCGAAAGAGTGCAATTTACAGAGGAAGCTTCTTCTTGAACGATCTCGTAATTTGGCGAAATTTCGGACGCACTTGATGGACAGCATTGTCGGTCTAATAATAAATACAAACCGGCGTGTAATGGCGATAAAATTTTCTTTGTTTTTTTTCTTTCTCAAGGGTCTTCCGAGTAGAATAATGAAATCCATTTGGATCCTCTGGTCGAGAGTATATACACAGCAGTTGTCGGAGACACGCTTTTCAATTGGTTCGCCGACTGGATTCCTCTCCTTGAAAACTTTCATGAAATTACCAAATCGTGCATGTGTCGCGTGCGAATTCTCGTTTCTCTGCCCCCCACCCCTCCGGATACCCCGAAAGGCGTAATTTGTGCGACTCGTCCGTCGAACTTATTCTGCCATATTCGGCTGGCTCGCTGGTAATTTTATGGTGGTGCGCTTCCTGACCAGATTCCCCTCCCCTCCGTCATCCCTGGTGATTTATACGCGCGGAATTTCGACGGAACGAATTTCCCTCCTCGACTTGAAAAAGCCGCGTTCTCCTCCCGGATAGGCTGGTTCGATATTATCCCCCTGATTTTGGAGCCCTTGTCGGTGTTACATGTATAGGTACTCCATTCTGTCGGATCGCTCGATAATTCTGTGCTGTGTGAAAAAAGTAATGATTCTTTGATGGTTGTTCGTTGGTGGTCAGGATATCTTGGTAATTTCAGTTTGGATCGTTTTACTGCAAAAGGTGACAGGATCTGCCTTTCTGTCAAGTATTATTTTTTTTATGCAATGGATAGTATAAATTAATCATTGTATAAAATAGGTCTTCCCGTTAATGGCAATAAATTAAATTAAAAATTGCAAAAGGGGATTGTCAATAATCGTAGGTGAAGGTTAGATGCGATCTTGTATTTGAATCGTGAGGATGTTTGCTCCGAAATTTTACAATTTATACATATATGAACCTCTTCATTTTGAAAGTGGTTTAAGTCTACTGTTCCTTATTCGTTTATTTGCATTCTATTTGTACTTATCTGTGACCATAACAACCATATACTTGATTTTCTCGAAATTCGATTCACACCATTTTCAAGATAACCTGCTCGCACCTGACAATGACTCGATCAGACCCGTTGCTGGTACTACACGATAGAATGCACTTTCCGGGAGATAGAAATAAAAGATTCGACGATAAAGAAGGAATGTTCCTAGCGTGGACAGAATTACGAGAAAAATAGGATGAAGCAAGAGGAAAGATGACAGTTACGAGCGTTCTCGATATAAAGTGTTCAAGAAAATACTATGATTATATAAATTTTCGGAATACTTTTACCTCGTCGTCATTCTATTTTTCACTTCCCGAAGAAAAATCGGTGGCAGGAGTAAGATGGAGGAAGCAGAAGAAGATGAAAAAAAAAACCGAAAGTGTGCACGGGCGTCGTGCCCGTTACCAGGATTAAAAATTCCTGGGCCGGTGAATAGCGTCGATTTTTGTCCACCGCTGTACCACGAACGAGCGGTGATTATGTATTTATGGGTTTCCATCAATCACTTTCGCTCTCCCGATTGCCGCGGATATCGGCCTTTAGCCTGCCGGATTAAAGTCGTATCGATTTCTCGTCGTTCTATTCGCCGTGTGTTCGATGAGACGATTTTTAGTTCTCCATTTCGTTTTCTTTTTTTTTTTTTTTGTGCGTGTGTTCGTGCTCGTGTGTGTGTTTCGACCGCCTTTCAGCGTGGACGAGGGATCTTTGGTAACGGTACATTAACGAGTCGAGGAAAACGGAATGTGCCTCGTGTTTGTGAGTGTCTATGTTGTTTATGCGCGTGTGTGATTCTGTTGGGATCGAAAGTTGCCGGGTGGAATTTCTGTTTGTCACTTTCCGAGAGCGGGATTTTAATCGAGTTGCTGAAAGTATCGGTGAATATTTTCTATACCGGCGGCGTGCACGGGTGTGAATTATTGGAGCGAGGGTATTTGCGTTTGTCGGGTGTATTTTAAGAGTGGCTGGGAACAGTTTTGTCGAGAGGTAGCCTGATCCCCGTAACAGAAAATACACGTATTTTTAGCCAATCGAGGGTTCGGATTCAATCCTGTTTCCCTGGCGGTGCAATTAGTCGGGTTCTGAAAATATCCTCGAGTGTCTCCTTTAAATGCGCGGGCAGGTGGTGAAATTGTTCCGTCGCGAACGTTTAGAACCGATTCGTTGACGAAGTGTTTGAAAATTGAAAATCATTTTTTCTGTGCATACACGAAGGAAGACACCTGTTTGATTATATATGTATAAGTTAAATCGTGTTAAATCT